TCTGAGATGGAAAATGTCCTGGAGAAACAAAGCAACTCCCCCCCTTCTTCCCCAGGCCTGTACAAAAGGGACAGACACCTCTGAGAAGTCACTGTGAAATGATGTGCCACCTGTGTTTGCTCTTGGCACTTTTCTAATGAGTAGTCAACTCGGTCACATTAACAGGCAGTATCCACCTGTGGGCATGCAATTAAAATGTAAACTGCTTTGAACAACCGTGTGAGGGACCAGCAGAAACCAGTCAGAGCCTGGAGAGAGGAAGAGGTCTTTGGAGGTTGGAAGGTTGTCCTGGGAAAGCACGTGTAACTTTGAAAAACGGTAGTGGGCAATTCTATAGACAGTGTTTAGGTCTGGTGCCCAGGTTGCATGTCTCTGCCACTTTCTACGAAGTTTCATCCACAACATATGGGAAGTTCTCCTCCCATCCAGAACTCACATCCTCTACCTATGCTTAAATAATTTCCTTGGGTCTGGCTACAACTGTAACCCATTACCACATGGAATTAAATAAAATCCGTAAGTAACAAAATGCAAAAAGTTTCACTCAGCATGACTTCAGCATAACTACTTAGCAGGTTCCTACAAATTTAGCACTTGCTTGCTGTTGAAATTGCTATTTTAAGACTTTTCCCACGAAAAGGTGAAGAGAGGCCACTGGAAAATACATGGGCTCTGGGTGCCGGGTAAGCTGCAGCTTGTGTCCTCTCCGGCTGGTCTGCTGGCCCGTGCTGGGCTGGGTGTGCTTATCACAGCCCCTTTTGTACGTGCCATTGGTGCATCTCTGGCTGGAATAGAAAAGGTGGAGGAAGAACCCAAACACGGGGAGTTCAGGCTTCGGGTTAGGCAAATACAGAAAATAAAACTGTGTTTGCGCTGGGGTCTTCAAATGAGTCTGACGGCTCTCCCTTCCACTGGTGCCTTTACAGTGGGACCACAAAGTGCTTTGCACATCCATCGCCTGAGTATTATTACCCTTTTCCCCCCTCCTCCGTTCTTGCCGCCGAGGAAGCTGCACCAATGGTTTGCTCTAAAGACCCGTCAGTCTGTACAGTCGCTCAGTTCAAGAGGTGAGTGGTTTAAATGTTGTACGAAACAGAGGTTCTTAAAGACAATGCTGGGCAAACTGAACAAACCCAGAAACTCACCTCCAGAAACAACAAAGCAAGGAAAATGCTAAACAGAAAACAAAAAAAAAAAAATGACAAAAATAAGAATGAAACAATGGACTCAAATTAAAATGCAATAACACACGTTAAACAGATACTCTGTTTTAAACCAAACATTGCAACAATGACAAAAACAACGTACCATCCTAGCCTTTAATCCTGAAAAACCACAAAACAAAAAGGCCTATTCAGGATAGAGTTCACCAGGTGAAAAAACAAACTGCAGTGGGACAAATCTGTTCACGTTAAGTCCCTTTGGTGGAGCAGAAGACAAACCATAGAAGTCCTGGGAAATCGATGAAGTAGCAGCTACAAACCGAATGCAAGTAGAATATTGTAATAAAGCACTTTGAGTCAGCTGCAAGACAAATGATATCTCGACGCCACTGTAATAATGAGTGTATTATTAAAACAGATCCCCAAGACACCATAGCGCTTCACCATCTATCGACAACAAAACAATTTGTGCAACCTATTGCATGTGTAAAGGTGAAGGTACCTCTTCGGACCCTCCAAGTAGGCTGATGTGCTAAATAAGCAACCAGTTTCTTATGCCTAGGAAAGGACATTTTGCAACTGATGCAATAAATTGAACAGTTCCTGGAGCTCAGTTATGAAGAGAGGCTTGAACAGCAGAGGAGAGCAGAAGAACCAGTGCAGATAAACTGGAGGCACAGGAGCATACAAACCACGAGCACACGCTGCATTTGCACAGGAAAAATGCCTGAGGTGGAGGAGCAGATACAACACTACAGAGTATGCAATGGCCTGGAAGGAGGCTTAGGGGAAGATAGATGCTCTCAGTCCTTGATGTAGGACTGAGAAGGGCAAGAACCAAAACAGCAAGCACAGCACCTTGCTGGTGAAGCAGCAGAACCACCGATAAGACTTTTCACCAGACTCAGCCCCAGGACAGCTTTATCACCTCTGTGGGAGGTGGACAAGCAGGCCAGGAACATGAACATCATGACTAAGGAAATGCAAGACATGGTGCCCTCTGCTAACACCTGAGAGACCTGTTTTGATTGATGTGGGTAGAGAAAATGTTGATGTTTTCAGAACATTGATCGATGCTATAGATGCCTGTTGTTATAGAAATTCATATTTTCATTTATGAAAATAAAATCAAATTCTAAAACTAAAAAATTGTTCCTTAGGAGAAAATAAAAATGTAAACCAATAGGGTAGACCCACCTTTGCAGCAGGCCTTTGGTAGCTCAGTCCCACTTTCTCCCAGGCCCTGCTCACCAGCCACTTAGGGGTTCCCAAGCTCTACAGATGTTTGCTTTTTGCAGTAATATTTCCATATGCCAAAAATCCCACTTCCAAGCATCCCCAGCACTTTTTCATTCTTGGCACGTCCAGCTCGAATTGCCTCAGAGGCTTGATCTGACAGGTGTTGCCACTAATACGGCATCTGCTCCAACTTCAGGACCACTGCGTAGCTTAAGACCATAAGAAATGAAGTAATGGGGTACACCTGGCTGTCCGCCATGGGTCCCTATCATCAGCCCTGCTGTATCGCATAGAGATATCTAAGGGATAGGTGTTGCAAACCTGAAAGCTGTGGCTGCTAAGCCCCTTTGGAGTTCACTATGGATGTATTTATGCATTAAACAAATCACTTTGGCATGCATTCATTAAATATCTTTTAGATCACCAGCCAGCAACCCATCCATACACCTATTTCTCTCTCACAAATGTAACTTCTCCCTCGCCTTCTCCTCTATGTCATTGTCCATTTGGTCACCAACCTATTGACCTTAACGCATTCTTCTTCCAAACTAAAGTCCTGCGAGCGTTGTGAGTGGCCTTGGAAGCAGAGATAACGAGAAGTCACGCGACGGTTGTTAGATGACGGCTCACACACAGCATGCGCGATGTTGCCGTGGTTAGTAGATGTGGAAGCAATCGACTGCACTTTCAAATGTGTTCATTTGTAAGCCTAATTATCTGCCTGTATAAATGTGGAAGGTAGGGATCTGGGCAGATACAATTTGAGGCAAAGTAAGCTGAAATCCACAATTTTGTACTCACTTTCAATTGTAGTCACAAAACTGGCCCTGTGATATTGAAAACCAGGGGAAAGCATGGTGAAAAATCATGGAATAAGGTTATTTTAAGCAACCAACAATGTGGTGTGAAATCTTAGCTCCACTAAAGTGTGGTTTTTTTTTTTTCCTGATTTCTAAGAAATCTTCACATGCACTATGCCTTTGATTAAAAAAGAAGAAAATAAGAATCATTATCTTGCATTTTAAAATAACAGTACCAGGAAATTAATCAAAGAACAAGAGCAAATATCCTCATTTGACTTCTTTTCAAGACTGGACAGGAAATCATTGTAAGAAAAGGATTATATTCAAAACCAACAAACAGACATGGCATAAATAGGAGCTGATTAAAGCAATAATTGCAAAATAAAATGGTAAGAAGAATAAAATAGTCAAGTTAATAATATTCTTTTCCTTCACATCTATTGTCTTTGATGTAGTGGATTAAACTCCCACTAACAAGGGTCTCAAGAGATTTACACTGAAGGAACAAACAGGGATCCTGCTGTATTTCAGATACTTTGGTCTAAAATTGAACAGGAAATTTCTTTTTCTTGAGCTTGAGCTTCTCCAGCCTTTGGAGGTCTCCCTGCAAAAGGGAGCTGGAAAATATCAGCAGCTCTCAGTAAAACCCACGAACAATTTTTTTGATGCTGGAAATCCTGATGCTAAAACTCCAGAAGAGGTAAATGAACCTTTAAAAATGACATATTTTTAAGTAAATCCATTCAAGGTAGGCATGTCTCAAACACAGGCCCGTAATCCCATGCAGGCAGAACTCTGCACTGACCTCAGCAACATCACAGAATCATAGAATCATTAAGGTTGGAAAAGACCTCTAAGATCATCCAGTCCAACCGTCAACCCAACACCACCATGCCCACTAAACCATGTCCCTAAGCGCCTCATCTACACGTCTTTTAAATACTTCCAGGGATGGTGACTCCACCACTTCCCTGGGCAGCCTGTTCCAAGGCCTGACCACTCTTTCATTTTCCGAAGGTCCAGTCTAAACCTCCCTTGGCGCAACTTGAGGCCATTTCCTCTCGTCCTATCGCTGTTACTTGGGAGAAGAGACCAACCCCCACCTTGCTACATCCAGACAAGTATTTCCACCTACATATCAATTTTTCACGTCAGTTTAGATCAGTGTATATGAAAAGGTGAGCCCCAAGACAACATTTTGGAAGGATTCTGGTATCACAGAATCTGTGCAGATGTCCACATCCATGCAGAAAAGCCTGCATCTGAAAATGCAAATTGATGTTTCTAGCTACAAACCAGTGACTGTTCGCATACATGATTTTATTCAGCCCAGCACTCTTTCAAATAGCAAAGAAAAAGCATTCAAGCATATTTTTCAGTCTGCTATTTAGGAGGATGCCTCTACACTTAAATTCTCAAAGCAAAGATCATTAAAGAATAGTTAATACATTATGTGCACACATACCTCTCGTAATTAAAATTCCAAAGTGAAATGTTAACACTTCACCTGGTGAAATCTATCCCAGGACAGCTTAAAAAAATCCTTCTAAAATACAGTTATTATAGCAAGGCAAAACATGAGGCATTACAAAGAAAAACAAAGAAATACTTAATTAAATTCATGGTTAAGAGATCAGCACTGAAGTATTCCGTCAACCTAAAGTCCTGTCAGTAACAGAGATGGTATAAAAGGGCTCACAGAGTACTGTGGGATGCTCCACTTGAACAGACATATATCGACACTGAAAAACAGAAACCAAATGATAAAGTCCCCAAATAATAAAACAATGCTTACGCGGCTATGGAAATGTTAGCTGCAGACATGGGGCTGACTTCTGCCACTTCCTTGGCCTTTTGCAGGGCGAGCTTTTGATTGGTGGCTTCCTCCATCTCCTCCTCATCCTGGTGCAGAAAATCAAGAGAAATCAGAGCGTGCATCGTGTAACGACAATAACCAGAGCTCCCCAAGTCATACATGACTGTCACTGCCATGCTGCGAGAACAGTGGGAACTCATTAAAATAAAGCAGAATTTCATAACTACTTGCAAGGATCCTTGGGTAGGGCCGTGGTGCCAGCAACAGCTGGTTGAGATAAGAAATGCAAGTTTTGGTCAAACACTCAGTGCATTTTTACCAAGAACATATCTCCCTCGCCAAGCTTTCTTACCTCTCCTGGGTCTCCTCTTACCACTTTGCATTCGGGTAGGAGGCTACGGCAGAGCAGGGAGAGACCTGACAAGTGTGACGTTTCTGGGGTGAAGTGAGCCCCATTTACCTCAGTCTTGCACGTGTAAAAACACTCTAAAGCCTCTGTCCTAGTGAAATGTATGAGACAGACTCCTAAATCCTTCATGACTTCTGGCCAATGTGATTTTTCTGAAACAGTAAGTTTCAGGATTTGACTGGTCCTGCTCACACCAGATATTTCCACTTATTTCTGTTGAATCACCGAGGACTTACAGGGTGAAAACAGAAAAGAGGAGCCATATTAAAGCGTAGTCTGTAGACTCAAGCATAGATCAGAAAGATGGGTATGTTCATGCTTTCTGTATATCCCCAGATCATGTGGATTTTTGACCTCTATTGGCATTGCAGAGTGATTTATTTCCTCCTACCTGGTGGAATGACAAGAGAAATACTGCTCAAATTCAAAGTACAGGATCTTAAGCAACGAGATGAGGGCAAAAGGCAAAGAAACAGCCTGGTTCATCTTCAACGGTCATCTAGGTTAAACTTCCTTTGAACTTTCTAGCCAAATTAGATAATAAAATCATGGCAGGATAAATGCAGACCCTCTGATGGCAATGTCAGCATCACACATACTCAACGAATAACCAGATGTCAAGACGAGAGCAGTCACAGGCTCTTCTGTCAAACTCTGTGAAATGCCACAGGTCTACCTCTGCTCTTCAAAGGTAATGCTGTGAGAGAGTTATGCTTAAAATAATGAAAGCAGACAGTAAGACATCTAGCTTTGAAATAGGAAGTCATATAGATTTATCCATCCTGAATACCATATGCATAAACAATACTTTGCTCTGGCTTTGGTGTTATTTGCTTAAACTAAACTCACTTTGAAACTGTTTTCCTTTTCTCCTTTCAAAGAAAAAAGAAATGATGGGAAATTAATTAAAAAAATCTGCTACCGATAAAGTTTTTCTTTTTTTTTTCCTTTCCAAATACTAGCAAATCTGTAACAAGTAAATTCCTACTGTAGTGGATGAAGAACCTGAGACAGGCCATGAAAAAAAGCCCTGCCCT